TTTTTTTTTCCTACCTTAACCCATTCTTCTCTTGTTTTCTCTATTCTTACTTACCCTTTCTTCTATTCTATCCACATTCTCTGTTCTCATCACTCTCTCTCTCTCTTTCTTTCTCTCTCTCTCTCTCTACACACACACACACACACACACATATATATATATATATAGAGAGAGAGAGAGAAGGAGAGATTCTTTACCATTATACTCTCCTCTTGCCTTTTCTCTTTCTCTCACTGTTCCTTTCTCCTCAATTAATTTCACATCTTGCCGCATTCTGCCAAGCGTACATTGTCTGTCTTTCGCCTCTAGGCGTAGCTCAGTGGGAGAGCGAAGGGCTGTCGACCAGCAGTACTTAAGATCCATCCTTGGGCACATGTCTGTATCTTGCCTTGCAATTCACACAAAAGGAGAGAAATCAGACCTTTAGAATCCAACAGTAAGAAATACACTGTTGAATATTTTAATGGTAGGCGACTATGAATACGATTTCCTTTCGCTTGACAGGCATTGCCCTAGTCGATACATTGGTAGCTAACAGGTTTTAACATTCAAAGGCTTGGATTTTCTTCTTGGATTTCAGTACTAACAATCTTTCAAAGAAGAGAAATCATTTTGCGATCACCCGGAAATAGAATTTCTACATATTTGGAAAGGCGTTGCACCAAATTATCGCTTACATCATGAGTATTTTAAAAAGGCCTTCATTATATTATATTGTGTTTTAAAAGATATTTTCCTTTAATGTTTATATTTATCCAATATTTTTATAGTCCAGCGAAAGAATCTGTAATGTTTTTGGTCTTCACCTGGCATCTTGCTTTCAAACGATTTTCCTGTAAGTGTTTTCAGGACAATTGTTCTGACCAGAGATTCTCTTTGGTAGATCGACTTTATGAATACGACTAGCCAAATTGCCCGCGCCTTTCTGTGTGTCATTTAACATGTATTGCTGGCCATTTTGCTTTAAATATATATTGCAGGTCATTTTGCTTTACAAACATATAGCTGTTTATTTTGCTTTAAAACATATTGCAGGTCATTTTGCTTTAAAGATATATAACTGGTTATTTTGCTTTAAAATAAATTGCTGGTTATTTTGCTTTAAAATATATTGCTAGTCATTTTGCTTTGAAATATATTGCTGGCCATTTTGCTTTAAAATATATTGCTGGTTACTTTGCTTTAAAATATATTACTGATCATTGTGCTATAAAATATATTGCTAATAATTTTGCTTTAAAATATATTGCAGGTCATTTTGCTTTAAAATATATTGCTGGTTATTTTGCTTTAAAAGTATATTGCTGGCCATTTTGCGTAAAAATGTATTGCTGGTCATTTTGCTGTAAAATATATTGCTGACCATTTTGCCTTAAATTGTATTGCCTTGCATTTTGCTTTAAAATGTATTGCTGGTCATTTTGCTTGAAAATATATTGCAGATCATTTTGCTTTAAAATATACTCCTGGTTCTTTTGCTTTAAAATATACTGTTGCTCGTTTTGCTTTAAAAATATATTGCTGGCCATTTTGCTTTAAAATGTATTGCTCTTTATTTTACAGTGAATATTGATTTCTTGCCATTTTACTATAAAATTAAATTTTATATTCTTTCATAGTCGTTTTTGTTTGTTTTTTTATTTTTTTATTTTCCCATAGATGGGATCTTAACAGGTGCTACTACCCATGGTCAGGGAGGACTTGGGAATCACAGAACTTAAGATGTAGTTCCAAGCTCCCAAATCATCCATTCTCTCGAACAGCAATCTTGCTACCGAATGTAGTTTATCGCCATACCCAAGACTGCATTAATATTTAACTTTCTTCTCTCTAGTTTTAAAAAGAAAATAAATGCTCACAGTAAAATATTAGGTTCGCATTAGAACAAAATGAAGAATAACACGGATGAAAAATAAAGTATCAAAAAATAGCCAAACTTATAAAATTTGATCTAACAATGGCATCAGCTGAAAAAATGGTTTAATGTCTCCTATTCTTTTAATGTTATAAATACCCTTGTATTTCTGATTGGCGTTGAAAGTGAATAAGAATAACAACAAAAAAAATGTAAGAATTTCGCAAATATCTCATTGACGTTATTGATTGAATTTCTGGTACGAAAAAAAATGGTTATTTGGATAAATATGGAAATGTTTACAAAATAGCCATTTTTTTTTCGATATGTGTAAAAAAAAAATCTTATCTTTTTAATGTCAGCACAAAGCCGGACGCCTCTGCACGAATAAATTATGCTAATAAAGAAAATTCAAGTGGCAAATGTATTTATTTATACACTATCAATGATACCCCACACTGCCCGGGCCAAGTCTATTTTCTTGCTCTGATGCAACTGACTTGACGTTGAGGGGCTATATCAAATCAAATGCTGCATTGTATTATACCAGAAATTTATTTTCACCACAGTCCCTCTTGCATATTTATAAATCTATCATTCGCACTTGATATTGCCATATGTGGTCTGGTGTTCCTGCTATTCGCCTCGGGGTTCTTGACGAAGTCCAAAGAAGGATCTGAAATGTAATCGCTCCTGACTTAGGATCTCGACTTCAGTAACTTTCCCACAGACACGACGTGGCTTCGTTCTGTCTTTTCTATAAATATTTTCCTGGCAACTGCTTTGACGACCTTTTTTTTCCCGAGTGCCCCGTCTACATGAATTTAAGCGCGCTACAAGACTGGCATCTAGGTCCTACCCGTTTTCATTTTGAAATAGCTAAATGCAACCGCCACTTCTACCCCAACCGCTTCTTTTCTCGCACTTCACGACTGTGGAAACTCCCTCCCCTTTACTTGCCTCCCTGATAACTGCAATCTTCAAAAATTTAAATGCAACGTCAGTCGCCATCTATCTTCTTGAACCCTGTTCATCTTTTGTCCTTTTCTCAATCCTCCCTATTCTCTTTCACTTTCACTTTCACTTTCACTGGCTGTCATCTCTTGTTTACCAGTGGCATTGCCGCCGTGCTTGAGGTGAAATGAAACCACCATTTCTACTCTGATTGTTTATTTTCTCGCACTTCCTAACTATGGAACTCCATTGTGTTTACTTGCTTCCTTGATAATTACAATATTCAAAACTTTAAATGCCACGTCAATCGTAATCTTCGTTCTTCTCGAATCGCGTTAACCTTTTATCCTTTCCTCAATCCTCCCTATACTCAGTCTTATCTCTCACTTTCACTCCGTGTAATATCCTACGTCCTAGAGATATTTCGGTCTTACTTGGGGTGAAATTATTAAAAAAAAACTCTTCCCGTATTGATAGAGTTCCAAACTGTTTGAGATTCAAACTTAGTCTGGGTATAAGATTTATTCACCATTCTGGAAGTCTGTCATTACTCTCTTGCAAGTTCCATGGAAAATGTTCAGCTAATCGCTATTTTTAACCTGCACACTAGTGCCATCCCCGTCTTGCTTGGGTGCAAAATGATCAAAAATAAATTTAAAAAAAATAACAACGGATTGGTTTTGCTTTGTTCGGTAAAATAGCATTTTTATCAGCATGACTCCCAAGACCAGGTGTGGTTATAGGTTCGCTGCACAGAAGTGCACCTGACCCGTTCCCAGCAAATATCTGAGTTTAAAGTCTAGCGTGTCATGGGCAAATATACCTGGTGGAGCCCATGATTCCGCAGATCAAACCACTGCCGATGTCCTTTAACATGAAGGCTCGCTTTAGCCACGGTCACATGGCCGTTTTATTTTTTTCAATTGAGATACCTTTCGTTCTGGCCGTTGACTTATCTATGAATCACTCCTCACATAATTACGTGTTATCACAGCACTGGCTGTATAAATATTTATATGACCCAGTTTACCCCGTTCTGCTAGGTGGACGTTGACCCTAAAGTCACATCCGTTTTGTTTTTAAGCATGCTAGATATATATAGATCCTCCTCCTCCTCATGAAACCTGAGGGCGGGGTAGGGGGAACTGTTTATAACTGAAAAGTTACGGAGTGATTTTAAACGAATAAGCTTTTGTTCTTCGTTATAAAAGATCTATAGGGATTAAAAAAAATAATACCTTATCAACATAATTTCTCGAGTAAATTATATTTCACGAATAAAGCGTAAATATAAAATTCAACAAATGAAAATTCTGATTTTTAAAAGAAAGTATAAAAAGTTAACATTGCTTCCTTCTCTTTATATATTGTTTACTTCTGTTTATTCGAAGCTGTGGTCAAAATGCTCAGATCGTTACCACGTTTTATTTAAAAAAAATATCTTATTTGAATGATTATGCAATTTAAGTACCAATACCTTCATCAAAAACATCTGGTTTATAAAAGATCACTGAAGACTAAAGTGGAACTTTGTAGCAATACACATATTTTAAAAACTTATTTCCAAGGCTAAATATGTAAATTAGCTATAGTTAAAGAATAATAATTATTTTGGCAATTATATAAGACGCATACTGTTACATGTAAATCACAAAACTAGAATTTATCAGATGGCATATTTTTAATTAATATAGAATATAATACACATGTAGCGTATCGGTTATCAGCATTGAAAACGAAATCGGCATGCCGGGTTCGAAACTTCATCGAGCCTGTTTCCTTCACTTTGCATTAATTGCCTTGGAAAAATCATAAATCCTTATTCGCCAATTATATGGTAAGAATGAAATAGATAGGGCGTTTTAACGTTCGTAGTCAACCAGTGTAGGTGAAAGAAAACTGATTTCTATTTCTCCGTGTTTTACACACACACACACACACACACACACACACACACACACATATATATATATATATATATATATATATATAAAGAACAGTCAAATTTATAATCCAGAGTTCTTTAGCATTTATTTTTAAAAGCAGTACTCGATAAAAAGTAGAGCACAGTATTCTAATATTATTATTAAAAATTATGTATTCATCGCGACATATAAATTACCATTCTCAAGAAATGTTGAATAACTTTCGAAAAAAAACCCCAACAATTTTATCTTCGATTTTCAACGCTAATAACTGACAGTCTACATGCGTATTATATTGTATAATAATTTAACACTTGGGGGGGAGAAAGTTATTCCATATCGCTTGAGAATTGAACAAAACATATGAATTTTAAGTTTAATTTAAGGTTTAGGTTTTGTTTCCGAAACATGGTAATTTCTGTGTCGCGATGAATATATATATATATATATATATATATATATATATATATATATATATATATATCTTTCCTGTCCACTCCTTCATGTCATCCATGACAGACTTCTTTTTTCTTTTTTTTTTCTTTTCCTCATAATCTTAGTTCCCCGTTAACAGTTCTGACGAGAGGGGACGAAACCGGTCGACTGGTGTGGGTTTTTTTTAAAACTTATGATGGCCTACAATATAAAATTTCTAGTTTTTAATGCCTTAATACGATTTTGTACCGTTTCAAACCTATTTAAATATATATATATATATATATATATATATATATATATTACTATATGATTAGCCTAAATTCCGAAAATGATCACTTGTATATCCTTGCTAGACCCAGCTAATGTTCTGCGATGGAGCGTATAAGAGTCAAAAAAGCAGTCGTGGCTCTTGAGGCACTGTTCAGAGGTTATCTGAATATTTGGATGAGTATCGATGCGGAACTGAGTATGTAGCGGCGCTATATCGAGTCTAGTTTGTGTCTTCTCCGTCACTGTGGTACAGTTGGTATGACGTTTGCGTTCTATGAACACGGTCCGGGTTCGATTCTCCGTAGTGGATGCGAACTAATGATCAGTCCAAGATAGGGCAAAACGGACGTCCAGTGCTTTCTGCATTCTGTTGTGGATTATTCTAGGCTCGACGAATTACTATATGATTAGTCTTAATCCCCAAAATGACCACTTATATATATATATATACATACATACATACATATATATATATATATATATATATATATATATATATATATATATAAGATAGAAAAAGGCGGTAAGAATCTGTCTCGATACATTGCATTATTATAAGCAAAGCGAAGAACACTGACAAGAGAAAGAGATATAAAGATTTCAAAGATGTAACGAATGGACCAAAGAAGTCTTCCAAATAAAGAAATGAAACCGCAATACGCAAAAATATGCAAGTTTGAATTTAAATCAGAACACGCCAAATTGGACAGGAACAGATGCGATTTTCGTATGAATGCTGGCAGACATAATAAACGACATATATACGGCAACGGTGTAATACCGGAAGACCTAAATATATCCATTTTCATAGCTCTGCCTAAGAAGTCAGGTATAAACATCTGCGAACACCATCGAACAATCAGCTTAATGACCCATATAACAAAACATATTATACAAATGTTGATAAACAGAGCGCGTATTAGACTAGAACATGCTCAATGCGTTTTTGTTAAAGACACTTGAACAAGGAATGCTATATTTATACTCAGAATGGTATCTAAAAGAGAAATACAAATGCAAAAAGACTCATCCCTATATTTTATAGATTATACAAAACGTTTGATTAGGTACGTCACAAAGAACTGTTTGAACTACTAGGTGAGCTTGTTTCATTTTGGGTAACATACTAAAATAATCCATAACCAATACGGAGCAAATCACTTCCCATGTTAATGAATAAAGTCAAGACAACAAATATAAAGGGGACAATGAGAAGGGCAGGTCTTGTTACTGAACTCAATTCAATTTTTACAGTAAGGCGATCGTGAGAGAATTAGAAATTCTATAATGATTTTTAAATGGTAGCCACAATCTTACCGAGATAACATATGCAAATGAAACACAGTTTCGTTAGAGGACACAGAGAGGAAACGACTTGAACTCCAACAGAAGGTAGTAACGTGTTGTTTTTACGTTTCTAGAGTTAAAGCAGTGTTTTATTTTCCGAACACAGCACATTTTGGCCGTGTTTGTAGTTAATATTGTTGGCTTTTTGTTTTTGTTATTAAGACTTACATTATTTTTTTACATGTGGATGAGGTTATAAAGCTTGTATTTTTTACTTGTATGCTTCGGATAGAGTCTAGTAAGTTTGCGCGTGTGTTTAAATGGTTTCTCATGGAGCTGTGTTCGGATAGCCATAAAGTAAGACGTCTCGATAGGCATGTAGTAATGTGACGGATGTAATTATTTGTGAATTCGGTTTGATCAAGAACACGTACACTCAATTAAAAAGTAAAAAAATAACATCATCCATGATAATGTCTAAAAGTATAGCGAAAATCGCTCGGAATTACAGCACATTTGGACAGTATCTACACATTCTAGGTCCAGAAACACAAAATAAATAATTAAAAAGCTTCATCGCAGTACCTTGTCTATCTTCTTTAATTAAACATGTATAAATGAAGGATTGCTGCCTAAATACCCTCCATATATATATATATATATATATATATATATATATATATATATGAGGTTGGTGCAAAATAATGACGTAATAATGTCGTTTTTTGACGTATTTTTTAACGTCAAAACGACATTATTACGTCATTATTTTAACATCAAAAATATATATCCCTCCAGCTATGGGTAAATAGCAGGAGAGACTGGGTTCTATAGCCTTGGATAGCAAATGGTCTAGGAGAAGGACTAGTCTGAATTCAAAACCTGCGGAGGGTCGTTTGGGGACCTTGTGTCATTTAGTGCACCAGGTCTCTGAAAATGGCCCTTCAAAAAGTGTGAATGGTCTTACACGAGACCTTCATCACTATAATCAATTCTCATGTGCTGTTGGGCTGTTGGTTTCCTGGTAACTGATCTGCTTGACCCTCATACGTCGAATTCGACCGGAGAGTCGACTATATATATATATATATATATATATATATATATATATATAGAGAGAGAGAGAGAGAGAGAGAGAGAGAGAGAGACAGACAGACAGACAGAGAGAGACGGACAGACAGACAGACAGACAGACAGAGTCAGAGAGAGAGACAAAGAGAGAGACAAAGAGAGAGAAAGAGAAACTTTACCCCCTCAAATTTTATTCAAAGTAAAATCAGCTTCCTTTCTCACCAGATCCCATATGAGGATTAAGTGACAATAGATCTCACTCTATAACTGATACCATGTAAAAGATATTGTCACATGGACAATTGAATTTCTTTAGATATTGTTATTAAATAAACTCATCTTCACGTAAAGCATCGGTAGGGCGTGTAGTGGGGTCCTTGCTCACTTCTTACCGTATCAACTGTTCGGTCAGATAAACTTTCCAACACAACCGGGTGCTCAACTCGGATTTTCTTGTTTTTTATTGACCTTTCTTATGCGTTTAAGTCATCCTGCTCAAAGCTAACTGGTTTTTATTGAAAGCTGGGCATTTGTATCGGATTTCTTTTTCAGTTGGAGACACGAAACATTTGAATATTTGTATGAGAAAACAGGACTCAGAATCCAGTCTCAGGTGGGTTTGGAAAAATAAACGTAAGATGTAATCAGTTTGGATTTCATAACTATTTCACTCATATTTCTTTATTTTTCTTTCTACCATTCCGTCTTTTATTTTTCGCTTCTTTTTCTATTGACTTTTGATGTTGCTCATTTTTACTGGCCTTTTGTCGACTTTATCTTTCATATCTTTACGTTTTTTTTCCTTTTAATTTTTTTCTATGTTACTACTGACATCTTTCTTTCTCTCTTTCTTTCTTTCTTTCTTTCCTTCTTTTCTTCCTTCCTTCCCTCCTTCCTTTCTTTCTTTCTTTCTTTCTTTTTTTCTGTCGTTCTGTATCTGCTTTTCTGTATTTTTTTTCCTCATTTCATATTTTCGATTTTCTTTCTTTCTTTCTTTCTTTTTTTCTTTCTTTCTTTCTTTCTTTCCTTCCTTCCTTTCTTTCAATTTTTCTTTCTGACTTTGTTCTGTTCATTTTTCGCTACCTATCTGATTTAGCCTTTTTTCCTTCTTTCTTTCTTTCTTTCTTTCTTTATTACTTACTTTCTTTCTTTCTTTCTTTCTTTATTATGTTGTACTTTCTTTTTGCTGTTCTGTCTCTCTCTCTTTCTAATTTCCTATTTTCCTTTTTCTTCTCTCTCTCTCTCTCCCTCTATCTCTTTCTTTCTTTCTTTCAATATTATGTTCCCTTTTCCTTCTGAATTATTTTTGCCTTCTTTTTCTTTTTAATTTTCTCTCCGTTCTTTCTGTAGTATTTGTTTCATTTTCTATCCCATTCCCAAAATCCTTCTCGGTTTATTTTTCATTGTTTTCTTATTCTTTCTTTTCTCTCAACATCATTTCTTTCTTTCTTTCTTTCTTTCTTTCTTTCTTTCTTTCTTTCTTTCTTTCTTTTTTTTAACTCCTTGTCACTTTCTTAGATTTCATACCTGTATTTCTATTCCCTTCTTTATCCTTTATGTCGCCATTTTCCTTTTAGTTCTCCATGATTCTATTTTGGGTTCTTCTTCTTGAAAATCCCGACAATTCCATTGTCTCGAAAGCTTTCTTTCTACGTTTCACTTTGTATATTTGTTCTGTCTCTCTCTTTTTCTAATGTCCTATTTTCCCTTTCGCTCTCTCTTCTTTCTTTCGTTCTTTCTGTCTTTCTTTCTGTCTTTCTTTCTTTCTTTCTTTCTTTCTTTGCCTCACTTTTCCTTCTGAATTATTTTTTCTTTCTTTCTTTTTAATTTTCTCTCCGATTTTTTTTCTTCGGTATTTCTTTTATTTTCCTACCCTTTCCCAAAATCGTTCTCGATTTATTTTTCATTGTTTTATTATTTTTCCTTTTCTCTCGACATTCTTCTTTCTTTCTTTCGTTATTTTTTTTTGTCATTATCTTACATTTAATTCTTGTATTCCTTATCCTTTATCCGCCATTTTCCTTTTAGTTCTCCATGATTCTATTTTGGGTTCTTCTTCTTCTTCTTGAAAATCTCGACAATTTATTCCATTGTCTCGAAACCTTTCTTTCTACGTTTCTCTTTCTATTTTTCTCAATCTCTCTCTTTGTCGCTCGCTTGTTTTCACCTCTCTGTTCTTTCTTTTACTTCATCTTCTTACCTCTCTCTCTCTCTCTCTCTCTCTCTCTGTCTATCTATCTATCTCTAACTTCTTCCCTCTATCATTATTTCCCGCTTTCTTACTTTTCTTATCGTGATTATCTAATATCCGCGACATACTTCAACCTCACCTGACCAAATGACATTGTTAGGATTCGGTAATGGTCTCAAATTGCTTCATTTAGTCGCCGGAAACTGATATAAACGCCGCTTCAAATTAATAAGTTAGTGTGCAGGAATAATCCACGGGGTCAGGTCGGGGGAGCTGAGATGACGGTCAAGAGCCCGTTCGGGACGTCTTCGGAAGTAGTAATCAACTTAAAGGACTCCTCTTTATCACTTAGTCCACGAGAATCACGTTGACGTCTGACCGCTTTTACCCGATATTCACAAGACCCGGTAAACGTTAATTTAATTCAGGACCAAACATTTTATTCTTTATATATTCAATTAAACGCTTTACGCTGCTTTGGATACATTGCCAGTCGTAACCATTTTTGTTTTACTTACGGTGTTATTGCTATAAAAATGCTTAGGATACCATGGGCCGTACATGTGTTCAAAAACGATGAGAGAATAAAAACAAAAAACAAAAAAAAAGAAACTTGTATTTAACATCAGAAAGAGGGAGCTGAAATTTATGGGACACGTAATGAAGAAGGAGGGCTTGGAAAAACTGATACTCACAAGACAGATTGATGGAAAGAGGGACAGAAAAAAGCAGCTCGTAATATACTTCATGGCCTTTAGGAAATAGATGGCAGAATAGGGTTTAGGAGAAATAACAAAAAAGAAACATATTAAGAGCTACATGGAATGGGAAGATGTGGAAGGCCATAATCGCCTACGCCCTGAAGAGAAACGTCACATAAAAGAAGATGACGGAATTATTTCTATGAATACACTTGTCTGTCCGATTACTAAAATGAAGCAACTACGTGCTTAGTTAGTATTTAGATGAGAGTCAGATTGGGAATAGCAACTGTCATATGCTGAGATGGAACAACCTCTGAGGGAAAGAAATTAAGAGAAAGAAAACTCTGATTTCAAACCTCCCACGTTCTGTAGTCATACCCAATCACGGGAAAGGCTTCACGAGTAAAACCTGAAGAAATACTAGCAGCCGGTGTCCCTACGGTGGTTCGTGGCGTTTACTGCGACGGCGCCGGAAACATGCATAACAGCACTAGCGATGCCATTAAAAACAGTTCAGCCTCGTTGGGAGCGGTGAACAATAGTATGACTATAGCCTGTCCTCCATAGCAAACCTGCCCAGGATTATGCACTGGAAATAAGGAAAGATGCAGTGCAGATGTTACAACGGACGCTGCGTCTGAAACATCATCCAGATGTCGGCCCTCTTTCTTCACTATATTCCCTTTAAACTTCAACTGTTTCTTTCAGATTTTAAATGTCCTTTTGGTTTCCATTTTCGCTAACATTCATCATTGCTCACATGTTCAGTATATGATATTTTAAGCATCCTTCTGAAAAGAAATACATTTCTGTTGCCTGAAGTCTCTTCTTTATCTATGAGGAGATTGTCCAGCATTCACTGCTACAGAGAACTGAAATTATGTAACAGTTTAGTAGTCTTTTTGTTGTTTCTAATTAAATTTTCCTGTTTCTTAATACTTTGCTTAACCTTTTGAAGACAACATTCACTGCCCCAATGAGTCGTTGAATTTTGTTTCCATATTTTCAATCCTTTGTTAAAACGCTTCCTAGATATTTAAACCTTTATACTTGATTGCTTTGGGTGTCATCAATTTGTAGTTTACATTGTGCACTGTTCCTTTTGCTGACAACCGTACATTTTGCATTCTTACAATTGATAGTTAGTCCTTTCTTCTTGCTTTACTTTACTACTTTGTGTAAGAGTGCTTGTAGTTTGCTTTCGGTGTCTGCCATTGTTGTATCCTTAAAGAAGGCTACAAAAAGACAAAGGGTGTACTCGAGTGAATGGGACAGCAACACAGGTATAGATGAAAGAAAGAGAGCTTTACTATAAAAGAAAATACACTACCGAAAGACAGGTAATTGGTTAGCCTACTAGTAATTCCCGAATCAAGTCCACTAGGTATATCCTGTGCTCCCCCCTCTCCCTCTCACTATATATATATATATATATATATATATATAGTCAGTCCACATAGGCGATAGGGAGTGTGGGACATTCTATTACAACAGCCATCAATACTGTATCACCTGCATATTTTACTTTAATGCCTATAGGGAAAAATATAATCCAGTCTCTTCCTTTGGCAGCAATGAAGAGTAAAATGTGGTCTTAAACCTAGCATGCCAATCAGTAAACGAGAAGGAAACACTGAATTCCAAATCGTAGAGTAAGCAATGGGAAACTATGTGTGTGTGTGTGTGCGTGTGTGTGTGTACACTATACGGAAAAAGTCTGCGACCACTGTAAATATCCTAAAAGAACACCTTAAACTTAGACATTTTTGTATTCAAAGTAAAAAAAATGAAATATCATGAACAACTTTGTATCTGCTTTTATCTTATCAAAAATAATCACTTAAATACTCAAAATGATCATACAAAATAAAAGTAGTTGTTAAGACTTCCCAAGCATTCTTCTTCACTCACGAAAAAAAAAGTTCACTCTCACGCTTTGGATATTCTCAAAATTACCTAAATTTATGAAAGAGAGTTTAGAATATTGAAGCAGGCAAGTCATAATTTCCTAAATGTTGTTGCTTATGTTTTTACTCAATGTAAGGTATTGGATCGGAAAGGTGAATTATTTCCAATTATACGAATCAATCATGATTACCTTGACCTGAATCCAATCTCCAGCCCTTTTCGTAATCTAAAAATTTCTACTGAGGGGTTAATAGTGAAAAAAAAAATGAAATGTTTCACTGGAAAAATATTCATATTATAATCTAATATATTGTGGCCGGACAAATCCAAATTAGGACTTTTTGGTGAGTAAGAGCATACAAATAAGAACATATTGACTGTAATTACTAAAATTTTACATTTTACTTTGAATATATATATATATATATATATATATATATATATATATATATAAGACCACTTTAGGCTCCATTGTAATAGTTTATTTCGCCAGAGACCTTTTAAAGTACCCTGGATCTTCAGATATCACTTTCAAAAGGTGAAAAAACTATTACAATGGAGCCTTAAAGTGGTCTGTTTTCTTTAAATTATTAGCTCTGAATTTACATTGAACTCTCAGGATTTCATCCTCCTTGGCATTACCCATACGGATTACCAAGTTTTTCGTTACTTATATATATATATATATATATATATATATATATATATATATATATATGAGTTGTATTTCGTTAACAATAATTCTTTCAGACATATCTGGATGGAGAATATAGACATGTCAAGTTTTATCTATTTTATTAAATTTTTAAAATTTCCGAATTAATACAGACAATTTCGGTCTATCATTTCTTGTATTGAAATTTTTGAATGTTGTTTTATATAGAATTAGTTGTATTATATTATATTTGCTAAAATTAATGTTATTTTTTTTTATTTTATATTAGTATTTGAATTTATATTGAATGATATCTTAGTTTTAATTTTAATAAATTTACAACATATAACAACTAATTCAAGCTTTATAATATACCTCATTTAAATTATATATATATATATATATATATATATATATATATATATATATAAAAGGTATGACGTTTGCCTCTTATGGTAACTGTCTGGGTTTCAACTCTCTGTTGTTGATGCGCCGCTGATTATTCCCAAATATAATTTGAAACGGCCGTCCAGTGACTTCTACATTTTGTTAAGGTTTCTTCTAGACTCGATGAATTAATTTATTTCACACACACACACACACACACACACACACACACACACACACACACACACACACACACACACATATATATATATATATATATATATATATATATATATATATATGGCCAGTGTCTCGTGCCTTTTATCTGATTGAAATATTTAATTTAAGGGACTTTACAATGATCTCCTCCGCCGACTGATAAGATCAAGAATTGGCCTTCCTGCCAAATCGACCAAAAATCGAAAGCTAGCCTCATGGTCAGGATCTAACGACGATATATATAACTATATTTGTCTGTTTCTCTCTCTCTCTCTCTATATATATATATATATATATATATATATATTTTTGACAAAGAATTAAACACTGCGTAGAAAGTGTTATTTTCACGTCTCAAGTTATTCTTCGTACCATGATTCGCTCCTCCTTGCCTGGGTGCTGTATATTGGCTGCTCGAGTTTTATGTGAAATGGCAGGAGTTACATTTGTCTCTTACAATTTCCTGGTGTAAAACTGACTCTGATTTACAATTCGGATCTTGAATATATTATTTATATTCCTTCATTTTATTTATTATTTTCCTTTATTTTATGGAATTTCCTTTCATTTATTTTTTTTATTTATTGATTATTTCAGTTTACAAAAGATTAAATAAGATAGACATTTGCCCGATTTACGGTAGAATTCAAAAAGAAGACTTAGATTAGGATTACGACTGGATCAAAAGTATAGACATTGTTTGGGTGTATAACCGTATCTACAAGTCTACATACTTTGGGTAGGAGCAGCTCTTACACCTGAA